CTTTACTTCACGACGTAAGTCATTACTCCTCACGGAGCTTCATTTCAACAAGGCGACGACCGATGGTGGTCGATAGTTGCTGATAAGGTGGTCGGTAGGTGCAGGAGCAGGAAGTGTTCGTCTAGCCTTCAATCCAAAGTAGGGTTGGAGTTTGGCTCCTTCTTCCCTGTTCGGTTCTCAATCTAGCTCTGAGTCTTTGTCTTTTTGTCTTCCTTCATATAGGGGAATGTGAGAGAGCTCTATTTATAGAGTCTAACAGTGGTCTCCCCAATAAATAAGAAAAAAATTTGGACTACTCCATCAAACGACCCGAAGAGATTTCTACAATCATATGATTTTTTGTGGACATTTTAGTATTTTAATGATGTCGGAATTTATTAATTTTGGGCTTGTTGGACTCGTCTGATTGAGACGCTCAATTCAAATACAAGCTTATTAAATTTGGATTCTATTTAACCTTCCAATTAGTTGCCCAAAGCTTCTAAAAATGCTTAAATGACTTGATTTCTATAATTTCGTTGAAATCAAATTCTAGATAATTATTAATTTGAATTTGAATACTTTTTGTTAAAAAATATTTTGAGATTCGTGCTATTTGCATAAGAAATCATGTCTATCTAGCCCAATAAAATATTTCTTATGAAGCTTCAAATTGATGCTTATTGGAGCACAAGGATGTGCCTTGCCTTCAGATCATAACAAACTCGAGTAAATCGAGGATAAATAGATCAGAAGGCAGGCAACTAAGTGTTGAAGCTTCTAAAAAGATATAAAGGAAGAAAGGGGCTTGCAAGTCTGGAAATATTCATTCCTTTTTTGGCGGACATTTCTCTTAAAATAGGAACCAATAAATTTTGTACAAAGAACATTTAGCGGTGTTCCCACCAATAACACTTTATTTTCTATAATATAATGAACAAATCATCTTAAATTTACTGGATTCATTTCATCGAAATAGTCTTTTTACTATAAGCACATAAAATTTTGATGACATTTGACTCTTCAAATGACCTCAAGAAATTTCTCTTTTACTTGTGGTTACTTGTTTAAAATATATTTGGCTTATGTACTAAGTTTCATTGCATTTCACTTACTAAATCATGCGGTATCAATTATAAGGCTTCGTTTGAAATAACGGTAGTTTATACCATATTTCTTTTAAAATTTACGTTCAACATCCGATTGGAGGAGATCATCTGAGATCTGAAATGATAAAAATTTACCGTTCTTGCAAATGAATTTTGGGAGACATTCATCTCTTGCTATTTCACCCAATAAGAATTTTTGTAGACGCCTACTTTCGCTCCTATCGAATGAAACTTCATCGCCTCCTCAAATGAAGCCTATGTTTGTTCACAAGACTGTTCATATTTTTCAGTTCGCAAAAACACATGGTTTACGACTATTTACAAAATGAAACCAACTCTATTTCAAATTGAATTGAACTAGTAGAACTTTTCAGTTTAGTTTAGTCTTTCTATTTAAGCAATCTGTTTATTTACTGAGAAAAAAACTAAAATATTCATGAATAGATACTAGTTCTATTTTTTATATGCTTGTAAGGATTTTGATCATTTTATATAAAATTATAAATAGAATTTATCAAGTTTACAAAATTTAAGTCTTACAAATTAAATTTACTCACAAAAAGGAATCATCACTTCTGCAATTATTTCATTGCAGTCATCAATCAATAATGATAGGCACAAAAAAAGGGAAAAAAATTCTTAAATGATTAGTTGCACATAGATATTATAACATAGAAGAAATCATAACATTCTCTGAATGACATAAAGAGTTTATCTCCCATCACACAATTTGCACGTTGCCTCAACCTTACGCAGACCACACATAAAAGGCATATCCAGTCTTCAATGGAGAATAAAGATGATGTTTGCCATTAACAAAAGCATTACTTAACTCAAAGTCACATTTTAAACACACAACTTAAATAGATTTAGAACAATTTTTAATTATATTTTATACATGGTACAATTAAATAATCCGGTTCAAATTTAGGCTAATTACCAATATTAACTATGGCACTAAATGATTTCATAATATCACTTAATAGAAAGTTCATCGTATGTTAAAACTAATTATAATATAAGCAATCTTATAAACTTCTTTTTGGTTGTATTATGGCTAATGCACAATTAATTAATTAAGTTAAAACTTTAGCCAATAGCGCCTTAGAAGTATTAGTTAATCCTCATATGAACTGCTATATAATAAAGAGTAGAGAGCTAAGCCTGAAACACACCTCAAACAACCTTCTTCAAATTATATATCCATCGAAATGACTTTCAGATTCCTCGGAGAATGCAGGAAAGTTGTCAAATTTGGAGAGGGTAACAATGAATCTATCGTTCATCATAGTAATCCATCTGAAACAGAAATCATGAAGAACACACGTGAAGGTCCCTTCTTCCCCAACCTCCAATTAATGTTCAAGAACAAGCAACAAGAGCCTTCTGATCTATCTAATGAAAAGATAACCTCCAAGACAAGCAACAACACTATTGCTTGCGACGAAGTAGATATAAATATGGAGGCTAGTGAGTTTATCAAGCGTAAACACCGTAGCCTCTATCTCCAGAAGCTTATGTCAATGAATGCTGCAGCACAACCTAACTAGATAAGATATGGTTACAAGTAGCTGACTATGTTGTTGTGGTCTCTATATATCATGAAGTCGAACTTCCTATAGTTTATGGGGTTTTTATGTATGAATAGTAAGGTGGCATGGTTGTCTTTCTAATGGAAATGTGATTATAAAATTAAACCTGGAATGACCCCTACATCATCTATCAGAGAGCTGAACCCAGAGCATACAAATTGAAGACATTCACAGGGAACGATGTCCCTTGAATCTAGAGTGGTGATGATCTAAAGAAATTTCTCCCTTAGAGATATCATTGCGGTAGAAGGAACAACATCATAATTGTTTTTTATAACTATTCTTTTCTTTTAAAAACTTAATATAGTAAAGAAGTTTTTTTACATTCATGGCATCTAAAAGTTTGAGATTTCACATATTCAATATTGCTAAAAGTACCCTCTCTAATTGTTTTTACGCACAGGGAAACACAATTACGATCGGGGAACTACACAATCTTGCTCAAGGAACTGTCACAATTTCACTCGAAAAATAGGCTTTGTGAGTGGCTAAAAACTCATCAATCAATGCAAAGAACGTCAAGTGGCCTATGGGACACATCGACACCTGACAGCGACAAGCTCCGCTAGAGGTGCATGAACAATCGTCATACACCCTACATTAAACTTTAGCACCCGAAAGTGACAAGCTCCGTGAGGGGTTTCTAACCATCGTCGGTGGCTTATGAGAAGTATTGACATATGACAACAACAAGCTCCGTGAGGGGTGCGTGAACGATTGTCCTGCACCGTATTTTAATGTTAGCACCCGACAATGATAAGTTCCGTATGGGGTTTCTAACCATCGCTTGTGACCTATAGGATGTATCAACACCCGATAGCGACAAGCTTCACGAGGGATGAATCAAGGATAGCCCTGTGCCTTAACTGTGACATTAACACTCGCCAACGACAAGCTCCGTAAGGAATTTACCATGACCGTATATGCAAAACACACACACACTCGACAACAACTCATAACATTGAAATTACTCGTGCATTCCAATAATTAACATGTAAGGGAGAAAAAAAGTCAGGATAATGAAACCCCAGACCTTAAAAATTTCCTTGTATTATGACAATTCATTTGTAGGTTACAAATAACACTCTCCTTTACAACGAAAAAAAAGGGAACAAAAACATGCAAAACGAGACTGCTCTAACCCTGAGCATTCGAGGATTCCCCATAATATGCCTCCCTGATCCCTTCGGCGGCAACAGACTCCTGATATGCAGACTCCTCCCCGCTCTCAGAACTTGAGAGAACCTTCCCAAATTCCTCCATGTTTTGTCACTTAGGATTCACCAGCTTATGTTTCACAAACCTCTCGATCGTGAGAGAAGTACTGACAACAACTTGGAAAGAAAGACCCTCAATATACGCCTTCTTTGTGACCATCGAAAACATTTTTTCTTTCAGCTCCTTATTTTCCTTTAAAAGAGCTGCCACCTCTTCCTCATGTTGTTGGACATCTATCTGCGGCCCCTCAAGGGAAAGCTTCAATCTCCCTCCCGCATAGAGAGTTTGCGCTTCAACTTTTGAACCCTCGAGGCAGACCACCTGATGTCCTCCTCGACTTTGTCCAAGAGAAGAACCTGAAAGTGCAAAGCTTGCCAAGCAAGGGCATGATAGCAGTCTACCCTCTCAAGAAGCTTAGTATTCTTTCATCACCATCTCCTCAAGAATACCGCATGTAACGAGAAAACACTCATCCATCTCAGCAAGGCAGCGAAGTATGATGTCAAAAGTCACGCGGAGCCCTTTGGGAGGAGGACATGCTAGCCTCCAACACCCTAATCCTCGACATCCCGCTCAGCTACTTGCTCTGATGCACTCAATTATGCCGTCCGCTCCCTTGCAACAACCTTGTCCATTATTCAACCCCTCGATCTCAACCTGGTCCACAACTGCCTTGTCATCCTTAGGACCAACATACAAAATTGATAGTCAAGACCTCAATTGCTGAAAAGAGAAATGCAGAAGACTATTCAAGCTAGATACATAGAATTCACCCCCATTAAGATGTGTTATAAGATAAAATGTCATCGTCAGCTTTTTCTAGTTTTCCAATTTCATAAGAGAAACTGCTCATAATCAGTCGAAGCCATGTCTCGACCTCAGCCGCCACCTCCTCAACACTCCTTTCTCCTAAAGCCACATGGATGGGCCATCTTTCTCTCGCAATAAGAACAATCCCCTCTGACGAGTGTCTTGTAGGATAGTTGTGAGGATGTCCACTAACATATCTTGCAGCCATGAATTGTGATTGTGTTGTTACCTATAAAATTACGTTTCTCAGCCTTGGAGTCGTGGGGCCCGCCTTTTTCTGCTTCCAAGTTCAAAATGGAGGCGAGGGAAGCTCAAAAAGTCGATATGAATCCTCTTGCTAGGGTTTTTGCTCTCCAGACTTTATGAACTGCTTTCCATTAATCGAATTACCTCATTTTAATTTTGATCTCTGATAGTCTTACGAGAATATCTGAATGAGCTCTCCTATGGAGGTCATCGTCCATAACGCCTCCAAAAACGTATCTGAAGAGGTATTTGAAGAGGCGAATGCCTCCAATACGGAGCCTGTCCTTTCTGCGAGTGCCAGTTCAATTGCGCCGGAAGACGACAAGGTTCTCGTTTCAGGTTAAGCAGTTTCCGCCACCCTTTTCGTGCTCCTTAATTTTCTCATCAATTCCTTCATCGCACTTGATTTGTTTGCTCTTCTGTCACAGTTGAGGTTTGCATGAAGTCTTTTAGCACGGCTCGCTCTGAAGATGTCCGCAAAGCTGTGGAAAGGTTCCTTTCTTTATCTTCTCCTCAACCTCTCCTCTCTCCATCTCTTTCACTTTAAAATTTGTTTAAGCTGGAGGAAAGCTCTAATTTTGGCAAATGCTTACACATTTGAAAATGGATTATGGTGATTTTTTTATTTTTTCGTATCTGTTTACCCACAGGAAAAATTCTGACATCTGCCGGAGAAAGAAATTCCAATTTCATAGTAGTTTGAAATTTGATGCTTAAATATAATATTCACCAGATTCAGTCTGATAGACCGCTGGTGAAATTTGTTTTAAAACCATGAATTTGATGTTTAACTGCTGGAAATTCTTACATGAATTAATGAATATATATATTTTCACGTATTCAATGTGGGATTAAATCCAATATTCTTTCTTTAGCAGTCTCCTTTTTATGTGAGAAAAATTCACATATGCCATCATTCACCCTCAACTAAAATTTTGTTTTATTCGTTAAGTATCATGCACCAATTGCTTACTCAATCACATAAAGATGCCATGAGAGTCACCGACACTGGAAACTTGCTCAACTATGGTAGAAGGCACTATACCCATCAAAGTCATAAATCACATGAACCACTCAAATGAATCTTTGAATGTGATTCCACGTACTAGAGAGTGGGGATCTAAAGGAGCTGTTGGTTGGGCATCATCTCTAGCGGTCCAGCCCATTTGAAACCTGAATTTTAAACTTTTTTTGGTGAGGTTATTAAGTTGAGAATTCTTGAAGAGTTTGACTCGATAAATTTGCCAAGGTAAATTAGTTTTAAAATAGGCTATTTTAATGATTTTCAAATTGTTTTATTTTTAAATACACACAAATTAAAATGATTGTTAAAAGGTTTATTGTTTTAGATATCACTTAAGTCAAAATTTAAACTTAATTAAGTTTTAATATCACATCTATAAATTCTTATAAATAATAAATAAAATGAATGGACCTCGGAATATGGGATTTGGGATGCTTGGTTTGCTAAGGATGAAAAGAAGCTGGCTAGCGTTTAGAAAAGGGAAAATTGGTGATTGATTTGGTTTCTTTTTTGGAGTGGAAATGTTAGCTTCAAAATTAGAGAATTATAGCCATGGAGATTGTCGTTGATATTAATATTTTTAATGTTAAAAGTGTTTATGATCCTCAATTATGTTTAAATATATGTTGAAAATAAAAATTTTAAAATAACCTAGAAGAATTGATACAAATGATACCTTTGGAAGAAAGAATTTTTATTGAAAGAGATTTAAATTGACATGTTAGTAGAGTGGTAGAAGATTTTAGAAAAAAATTAAAATAACCTAGAAGAATTTTTATTGAAAGAGATTTAGAAATTGACATGATGATTATGATTTTGAGTGATTAATGAAGAATGTAAAGTCATATTTGATTTTGCTTTAGCTTATGATTTTGTTATTGCTAATACTTTATTTAAAAAAATATGAGCATGTTATTATCTATAAGAATGATTATTGCTAATACTTTATTTAAAAAAATATGAGCATCTTATTATCTATAAGAATGAATCTAATAAAAACAAATTGATTATTTTCTTATGAGAAAAAATATCGTCGATAATGTAAAGATTGTAAGGTCATTTCAAGGAAAAACTTAAGTACTCAATATTGATTATTAGTTTTGAATTTTAAGACGAGGAGTTGTAAGATTAAGAATATATTGAAATATTATCATAAAATTAGATATGGGCACTTAAGACAAATAAAATTATTTCTATCAGTATACTTAAAGATTTAAGATTTGAGATGTTCATGAACAAACTAATTCTATGCACGATAAAATAATAAGCACTATTAAATAAGTAACAAAAGTTGTACTTGATGAATCAAAGGTAAATTATAAGAATGTTAAAAAATTTTTATAATTAAAAATAATTTGTGGTGGAATAATAATGTAGAATAAAAGGTAGATTATAAGAAAGTTTGTTATAAAAATTTTATTTAAATGTAAAACCTTAGAGAACTTGAAATAACATATGATGTAGGGAGTCTAATATATGACGCTAAAAAGTTTGTTTTTAATGATCTTTATAATATATTATATACTAAAGAAGGTGAAAAATATATGTTTATACTAGTCAAACAAAGATAAAAAAAAATAAAGATTTAATTCAAGTAATGTGTATTAAAGATGAAAATCTAGAAGTGCTTTTCTTAGAGGAATATATTTAATATTGGTGGATGAGCTATTTTGATAAACTTTTCAATGAAGTTTCTAAAAATATGATCGGTCTTAGTGTTCTTAATATTGTTAATAATAATAAAACTTTTTATTTTTACTGTACATTAATACAAAGGAAGTTGATGAGGCTTTAAAGAAACTAATGGTGAAAAATCCGGAGGACCTAATGTTATCCCAATTGAAGTGGGGAAAAATTTAGGAAATTTGGGAGTTTCTTAGCTCACTAAACTCTTTAATATTATTTTGAAAACTAAAAAGATGAATGAGGAGTCCCATTTCTAAGAATAAAGGGGATGCATAAGAGTTTGCAAATTATAGAGGAATTAAATAATGTGTCATACTTTAAAATTATTGGAGGAGGTGAACATAGATTAAGACAATGATTTCTTATAATCAGTTTGGATTTATGTCGGGGCAAGTTTACTTTGAAATCTATACATTTATTGAGAGGTTTGATGAAGAAGTACAGAGAGAGTAAGGAGGATCTACGTATAATTTTTATTAATTTAGAAAAAAAACATAGGATAAGGTTCCAAGGAAAGCTCTTTAGAGAGTTCTAGAAAAGAAAAATATTGATGCGACTTATATTCAAGTCATTAAAGACATGCATACTAGATTTTTTACTTGTGTTCGACCAGAAAAATGATGACTAAGTTTTTTTTTTATTTCAATTAGATTGCATCAGAGATCGTCTTTAAGCCCATATTCTTTTGCTTTTGTTATGAATGCTTTTACTAAACTTTTTAACATGCATACTAGATTTTTTACTTGTGTTCGACCAGGAAAATGATGACTAAGTTTTTTTTTTATTTCAATTGGATTGCATCAGAGATCGTCTTTAAGCCCATATCCTTTTGCTTTTGTTATGAATGCTTTTACTAGACTTTTTGCAGGAGGATGTTCCTTGGTGTATGTTTTTTGTAGATGATATCTTTCTTGTTGATAAGCCTAGAGAAAAAGTTCAGAAAAAAACTTAAATTATGAAGGTTTGCATTGGAGTCTAAAGGCCTTCGTTTGAGTTGATCTAAAATTGAATACATAGAATGCAATTTTAGTAGTAGCAACTCAAGTGGCATAGTTGTAACTATGAGTGATCAATTCATTAAAAGGTGTGAACCTTTTACATATCTCGGGTCTATAGTTCAAAGTGATGGTGATATAGATGGGGATGTTATTAGTAGAATTCAAGTTGGTTTGTTGAGTTGGAGGAATGCATCTGACCTATTGTGTTATAGAAAAGTACCGCTTAGACTTGAAGGAAAATTTTACAAGACGGTGGTGATACCTGCAATGCTTTAAGGTGCAGCATGTTGGTCTTTAAATGAGAAGCATAAAACAAAGTTAAGTGTTGCTGAGATGAGAATGCTTAGGTGGATGAGTGGCTTGACACTTAGAGACAAAATGCAAAACAAATATATTCGTGGAAAGCTTGATGTAGCTCCGGTGTTAGACAGGATTAGAGAGAGTCGTTTTAGATGGTTTGTCATATTAAATGTCTACCATTTGATAATCTGGTTAGGAGAGTAGATGTTCTAGATTCAACTTATGTTAAGAAAAGCAAAGGTAGACTTAAAAGAGGGCATATTGTATAAAAAATAATCTTAATCTATTAGAATTAATTGGAAATATGATGCTCAATAAGATGCTCAATAAGACATAATGGAGAAAAAGTATTCATGTAGCCGACCCCACTTAGCGGGATAAAGGCTTGTTGTCTTTTTTTTTGTCGGAAATGTTAGCTTCACTTTTCTATGAGAAAGAAACTACAATAGCTAAAATTAATATAACTCGGTTGGCTGAATGTTCAGATTACTCAATTTTAGTTTATTAAGGAAAAACTTTGGACATGTTGTTCTTTTTCTTCTATTTTTTCTTAATGTCGTGCTTCATAGCCAAGATTCTCACCTACTGTTGGGTCAACGATGATGATCTATGTAAGTTCTTTTTGATAGAAGAATGTCTATTTCTAAATTTGAACAAGCAAATCTTAATAACAATGGGTTCAACCCTTACACTTAGGCCTGTCGTTCAATTTTGTTGTTTTCAATTAATACTTATCATGACTACCCTAAGAATTGTGCAGACAAGTTCTTTGCACCACCAATTTTATTCGCTATATTTATCTTGTTTTTAGTGGTAAATGCAGTACTTTTGAAGTTTAAGACAGTGGGAAAAAGTTTATAGGTTTTTTGTATAAGATGGTACTACTTAATAGTCTAGAAGATGTTAATATCTAGAAGTTTGTTGTTAAATGAGGTCAATTTGAATTTGAAAGCTTATCTAAACCGATTGTGGGAGAAAATGATTGATTTATTATGATAAATTTTCTGCTTGCAAGTAGATTTGGTGGTTCAATGAGGAAGCATAAAAAGTTTTAAAAGAAACTCACTTTTAAGAATGATATAACACAAATATTATAGCAATGTTGTAAAATTAAAGAATTCAAATGAGTTGTTGAGATAATAATAAGCAAAAGTGATGTTATAATTTTTTATGACTTATACCATAGTTTAGGTTCTAACTAATATTGTAGAAAAAGAGTTTTATTGAGTGGCTAAGTGCAATGAAAGGATATTAATAACTTTTAATTGATTTAGGTGTATTAATAGTAAAGAGACATGTTCTGTTTGAAAGTGAAAGCATTATAGCATAATAGAAATATTATTTTGAAATGTGATCAAATGAAATATTATGAAAGATATGCTTTTAATAAGATATATAAATTCAAGTTAGTGAAATTAATTTATTGTTAAAAAGTTATGTTAAGTAAAACTTAAATCCTAATCAATTATAGAGTTATGTGAGATATATGAGTAATACAATTAATAAGTCATTTTAGTGAAATTATTGAGACTAGGGATTGTGTTGGTAATGTTCTTTTATTGCTATTTTATGTTGTACAAAACTAGTCATCATTAATTATGCTTAGATGAACATATTGTCTTTCATTATGTTGCTCATTGTTGTGGTTCTATGGATGTTGTTGCATGTTTTTGGCACAAATCAAAATTTTGGAATATCTTTAGCAAATTAAATGCAAGGGAATGCCAGATGATTCAAACAATATTTTTTGTATTTTCAGAACAACTAATTTTATTTGGGTTTTAATAGCTAGAGGGTATTCTGGTTTTGATCCAATATAATGATTTGTGGAAGTTGTTGTTCAATGAAGATGAAAAAAATTAAATTAAAAAGAAATAATCAATTTGATTTTATACTTGATAGATCAACTATGGTGGCCACCATTGTGATAAGATAATAAATGAATAAGTGTAGAAAGAGAACAATAGAGTTTTGTATGATTTTTTATTTCAAAAAGGCATACTATTGAGAGTAAATATTGTTTATTAAGTATTCTGTAGTAAAATAGCACACGCACATGTGATTAAATTACTAGTGTAAGATTATACTTGATTCAAATTCTATATTTAAAGCCTCTCTTTTTAGTTAGAACTTGTGATTGTGTTTTCAGAAGTTCAAGAACTTTATTTGGCTCTTATTTGTTTGGCTTGTGTTATTTTTTCCCTAAATGGCTTCTGTGATATGTTATCAACAATAACTTGTGTTATGTGATGGTTCCCTCTAATCTTAGTCGCTTCGTAGTTTTGGATTTTTTGGTTTTTATCATATTGCTTATGGGACTTGATGATGGTTATTTATATTCTATATTTTTATTTGTGAATTGAGGGAATAATTCCAATTATTAATCGGGGTCCGAGCGATTTAGAAGTGCAATGCTATTTGATTTCTTTTTTGATGAAACAAATTCATGATTGGATATAATACATCTTAGCCTTCTAAATTTTGAAGAAGTTATATTCTTGTGCCAACATGAGACCAGCTTTTTGCATATGGGGATCTATTATCTTTCTTACTATGTTTATGTAATTTTAATATTATATGAACTTGCTTAATTTAAATATAATTTTTTCTTAAAATTTAAACCAGATCAAATCTGATATTGGAGTTAACCCAAATCAAGACTTAGATGCGAAAAATTTTATTGCTGAATCTAAGAACGAGTACAATGATGAATTCTCACAACAATAATGCATAAACTGTAAACGATAAAAAACATAAACGACAACCGAAATAACAAGTGGTACATGAAATAACAAAAGCAAAATTTAACTAAGCTCGAGACAAAAAGATAAGGCGGCGGATCCGGCGTGGCAGTGAGGGGTGGAGGCTGAAAGCCTGCTGAAAGGGGCTTAGAGGAACTCAGTTGCTGCTAGGAAGGCGCTGGCAATGGTGGACGTATGGTGGAGATGCCCTAGGAGGTGGAGCGACCTGCTTGAGAAGTTGATGGGGGACCTGGCAGGTGGGGAGGTGCGGTCAAGAGAAGTGGAGGTTGCTGGAAGGACCTTGGAAGGCTGACGGCCGACTGGTGGATGTTTGGAGGAGTAGCAGCGGGGGACCTGGCAGGTGGGGAGGTGCGGTCAAGAGAGGTGGAGGTTGCTGGAAGGACCTTGGAAGGCTGCGGCCGACTGGTGGATGTTTGGAGGAGTAGCAGGAGTAGCAGCACAGTGGCTGTTGTGGGGGAATGGCAAGAGCTGCAGTTGGTGGGAGGAGTCCGACAGGCGAAAGTGTGGAGGAGCGGTGCTGGAAGGTTGTCGATAACAAGGTAGAGTGGGGAGGTAGTCATCACCTTAGGCGGGGTACAGCCGAATCATCTCCCGTCGTCGAACACAGCCCTTGGGAGAGGTATAGACGTGGAGGCAAACTTGGAATCAGAAATCACGAAGAACAACTGGTTAGACCTAAGAAAGAACATGCATAAGGAAGAAGGGAGACAACCAAGACAAGATCCCAGGAAGGAAGGAGGTGAAAAAGTGGAAGGGATTTGAAAAGGTGAGCAATGACTAGGAGGCACGTCGTAAGATTAGGACGTCGGCAGGGGGGGGGTGTCCACGGTAGCAGTGGAGCGAGTTGGGCATGGGAGTACGAGGGGCTAGTATAATAATCGACCCAGACCGGCCCAGTCCAGCGTGAAGTCTGGACCGGCTTGCTTCTTGTCGCGCTCGGCTAGATGCGCTGAAGCAACGCCACGTCAAAATCATCCCTATTGAATTTGATGAATTAGATGAGCAATATGATAACATAACCTTGACCAATTATCTACAAAATTTTACTCATTTGATGTATAATAAAATTTATATTAATTTCATCTTTGGCTCTTGTTTTCTTAATCCTTAAATTTCTAAAAAATATCATATGGAGTGAAATAATTTGCTTCCACATCTCAAGATGTTTATTTATTATGATTATCTTAAAAAAACTTGAAATTTAAACCTCCATCATTCTTGTCAAGTCTAAATCATAATTATCACTATTAATATTTAAGTATTTTTAAATAAATCTATGAAGACATGTCATATTTATTTCCATGGTCTTTATAGAGTATTATATTTGTTTTAATTTGAATGTACATTTGTGTGTTGGTATTTTTGTTGTTTGGTTGATCTTATATAATTTAAATTGCATCGTTCATCAATCATTTACATAATTTATATGAAAGGATATGCAAGAAACTTATATTTAATGGAGAGATGTGGTATTTCCTTTTTAAATTATGAAATGTTTCTTGCTGGAGGATTTATGAAGTTGATTACTTTAATGATATGATCGTATAAATTCACGCAACACATTGGGATGAACTTATGAGTAGAAAATTCTAGCAAGTTTTGGTATTAGTCCAATAATTATTGTCTTTGACTTAATATTATATTCTGAACCATAAACAATGCCATGTGTTCTTATATTTTCCATCTCCTTCTTTGGAATTCACAAATATACATGTTAATCTTATTTTTTTAGGTGTTTTGGGAGATGAAATCATGTCTAGTAGCTATGGTGGACACCGAAGATATTTAAGAAATTGGAGAAGCAGGCCATGTGTTAATTTATGGATGTGCTTTATAGGAAGTATACTTATTATGTCTAGTTCTATTTAGTAGATTAACTATAAGCGAAACTTTTGAAATCAGATAGATTGATGTGAAACTGGTACCAAGAGTTGGACAAAAAAGTATGCCCCTTTATAAACAAGTTGATCAAATGTAGATGTAAGAATCTAAGTTCTAGAGTAGTCAATTTTGACAGTGAAGATGACGGGTTAAAGAAAAAAGTAATGGCCAGAAGACTACAAATGTAATGATAAGGAGAGTGCAAGGTTAATGAGAAGTTAATTGCTATAATGTTACATTATGAAGTGATGTTTACATGTGATAAATTTAGATACTTTGGTGCCATTTTGTGAAAGAAAGCCAAAATAGAATAATAGGTTTAGTGTATTAAACTGGGTGGATAAAATAGGAATTGCCTCGATATATTGTAGAATATGGGCACTTTTAAATTAATTTTTGAAACGAAAATAGGATCCTCTGTGCATGGATGCAAACATCCAAAAAAAAAAAAAAATCATAAATCTTAAAAGATTTTAGAAAATATATTTAAATGGTTCACGCGGTGATAATGGAGTGAAGGTGCACCAATGGGTTGGTAGATTTTGTCATTATCACATGAATAGGAGTAAAATGGTACGCAGAAGGGGGAATATAACTAGTTGCTGCAAATAAGGATTTGCTTAAGTTAAAGATTGTTGTCGCTCTTGCAACACGAACAAAATGAATGAAGTATTCACACAGCTTACCTTAAATATTTGGGTAATGCTAATTATTATGATGATATGGGTTTTTTTTTCTTGTAAATTTGAACTATGGTCAAACTATAAATATTGTTTAAAGAAGCTTGTTTGCTTTTTTATTGACTGGATGACTTGAATTTTGAGCACTTGTTTGTTTGTATACTTGGTTTTCTTGACCTTTGTTTGCTTTATGATGAGGTTGTATCTTTTGTTCAAGATTTCTTTTTTTACTTGAGATGCTGTTTTTTATTCTCATTTATTAGGATGCTTGAAAAGAGAAATTTAAGCTATTCTGATGGTCCAGTTCCAGTGCCAGTTGATGATTCTTTTCTCACTGAAAATGTTGAAAGAATAACCATCTGCGACACAGGTATGCCATCTTTTTGAGCACAGTTTTATTTCTATATGGTTTCTGATTAAACCAATATTTTCTGTAGATGAATGGGTGGAGAACCACAAAATTCTCTTGTTCTGGCAAGTCAAGCCTGTTGTGCATGTCTTTCAGGTATATTTAGAGTTCTTGTACTGTTTGATACACGCTTTAAAATCTTCAATTGTTCTGTTTGATCACTTCTGAAGTTCTTTACATGCTTTATCATTTTGAGCTTGTGCAGCATTTTTCTTCCGGTGTTATGTTTTTTTTTTTCCAAAATTTTTTTCCGTTTTTTTGTGAATCATAATTGAGTGATTAATATTTTTATTTATTTCGATGGTCTTATTAGAGGAATAACTGGCTAATTCTATGTCGATCCAGCAGCATATGGAAGAAGTCTGTTTTGGGGAATCTTGTTTAGCTCTTCTTCATATATCTTATGTTTCGATGTGCTAACTGTTTTCGGAGATTTTAAATTTTCTTACTTTTTATTTGTTGATAATGTATTCATTTTTTGATCAAGGAGCTTTCTGGTAAAAGGATAAAACTTAAAGTTGTTTTTGCAAAGTTTATGAAGTCATTTTTTTGTTTTTGACTTAAATTTTATGAACTAGTGTGCTTTACTTCATAGCTCATGTCCTCCATAAATTATTTGTCTAACATTTACTTTAGGACGATTTATTTTGCATGCTTTCTAAATTCAGCCAAACCAAACATCTTTTGAGTAGAATTTCACCTGCTGTTGTCATCAATGACATTTATGATTGAGGCCATGATTTGGAAAGCTTGATAAATTTTATTACCTGTCTTAAATTAAAATAAGAATTCAATTTCTTAAATATAATTTTGTGGCCAATATAAGTAACCAAAAAAATTGAGAAATTAGCATTCGGGTTTTGGAGTTAGTTGATCGACCTGTCAAACTTATTCCAACTATGGTCACAATCCATTCGATTGAGCCAAGTCAAGTTTGAGATAGAAGCAAAATGAATTTAGTGTAAATCTCGATGATAGTAGTGGTGGTGTCTAGCGACATTGTCAGACGGCAGACAAGGTCGGCTTGAGTCAATGGACAAATAAAGGCAGTTGGCTGGCTGCTGGAGTTGACGATGGAGGTTGGCGGTTGGTAGGCATAGTGAAGTCAAGCAGTGCTTCACTCTTGTGGTGTTGAAAATGAATTAAGTGGTGAATCCCAAATATTTTAAAATATAACTTTGCATTCCTTTTTCATCCGGAGGATTGAAGTCCTTTTGTTCGATGATTTTTCACAAGTAGATCAATTGTCAACACATCTGGGCAAATTCATAGAATTAAACATCATTGGACTTTATGTAGGCTTGTCTCAGTTCGCAGTTTCAAGTTTAACATCAGGGATCGACTTTAAGCCCATATTTTTTTGCTTTTGTTATGGATGGTCTTACCGGACATTTATAGGAGGATGTACCTTGGTATATGCTTTTGCTGATGATATCTATCTCGTGGATAAGACGAGAGAAAAAAACCCAGGAAAAACTTGAATTATGGAGGTTTACATTGGAGTCTAAAGGCCTTCATTTGAGTAGAACTAAAACTGAATACATGGAATGTAATTTTAGTAGTACTAGCTCTAGTGACAGAAGTGTTACTTTCGGTGATCAAAATATTAAAAGGTATAATCAACTTGTGAGCGACAATTCTGTTTAGAATGTTTTCTGAAATCTTAGCTATCAGATTTACAGGAATGAATTATGCAGTATGGGAATTACAGTTCAAGATGTTTTTGAAGGGGAAAAGTAGTGCTTAGACTAAAAGGAAAATTTTATAAGATGGTGTTGAGACTTGCAATGCTCTATGACGTTGAATGTTGGCTTTTAAAAGAGAAGAATAATACTAAGTTAAGTGTTGCCAAGATGGAATGATTAGGTAGATGAGTGGCTTTACACTTAGAGACAAAATGCGAAATAAATATATCCGTGATAGAGTTGGTGTAGTTTTTAGAGACAAAATGCGAAATAAATATATCTGTGATAGAGTTGGTGTAGTTTTAGTGACAGACAAAATTAGATAGAGTCGTCTTAGATGGTTTGGTCACATTAGACGTCAACCATCTGATGTCCGATTATGAGAGTAGATGTTTTAAATTCGACTTATGTGAAGAAAGGCAGAGGTATAACTAGGAAGACTTGGGCTTATTGTATGAAAAATGATCTTAATTTATTAGACCTAAATGTAAACATGACACTAAATAGGACGCAATGGAGGAAAAGGATTCATGTAGGCGACCCCATTTAGTGGGATTAAGGCTTTGTTGTAATTGACTTTGCTGATATTTATGTGTGCTGTGATGGTTATCCAAGATGTTTTTATAATATGGACTCGGAAAGATAGAAAATGTAAACTACTAACTATAACAACCATGCTTCCATGATCAGTGATCAAATTCTAGAATTGGTGGAGAGGCTTTCTGTGATGTTAATTGTTAAGTTTTTCCTCTGTAAGAATTTCAACCTGAAAGTAAATCAAGTGCCAAGTATTATACAGATAGACTATACGAGACAAAATGTCTAATTGGCTAATTCAACAACTAAGTTTAGTATTCTAATACTTACCGTACGTCCTGTAAATGATTTATAAATCAGTCAGATCCAACTACTAGTGCACCCTAAGACATCAATTGTTTTTGTAAATATCGAGCTCCTATAGTCCTCAAGAGCCCGACCATTAGCATTAAATGTATATTCAGAAAGCAACAATGTGATGCTGCAGAGAAGGGGGATTTGGTATTGAATAGGGGAATAAAACTAGTAGATGGCAGTTGGCTACTGAATTGAATCGAAGGGAGATTTTATTGAATCGAAGGGAGATTTGGGGAATAAAACTAGTAGATGGCAGTTGGCTACTGAATCAAAGGGAGATTTGGGGTTAGGAGAAGCAAATCTTTAAGGCTTGGTAGAATAGGATAGAAGGTAACCATAGCAATATAAACAATTAGAAATGATAATTAGATCGAATCTAACCATTTTTCATATGAATACAAGTACATAAACTATAAACAACTCAACTAAAACCATTTTTCATAGGAATACTAGTACACAAACTATAAACGACTCTACTAAATGATTATAATTTCAAATCCATAAATAAAGGTCTACAATTAAATATAAAATTCCAAAATGATCAAGATAATACATTTTTTGTGTTTCTGTTTATTGTAGACTTTGAAATATCCATCTTCTTAAACTTTTAATTTCCTAATTACTATTTGTTATTCCTTTCTCTAACGTTACTGGGCCTGGGCAAGCCTCCAGCCATGTTCTTAGGTGTACTGAATTTTCTTTTCGTTGATGTATGATGTTTTGAGTTGTTGGTAATTACTCCATTTCTAAGTTCCGAACTTTTCTTGGCTCTTTGTCTATATTTGATTAATTTACGTCATTTACTCAATTTTTAATGTCATTGGGATTTTATTTAGACTTTATGATCTTTGCAGCTCAGTGAGGAGGGTCCAGGGGAGGATCCTAGTGGTGAGGATGTGCTTTCTAGTTTTACTGAGTGGTTTCTACCCGCCAAAGAATTCGATGGATTGTGGGAAAGGTTTGCTGGACAATCAAATTTTTTTTTTTATTGAATATTTTATTTCTTTTATTTTTTCCTCATGGTGAGACCTTCAAAGTTAGATTTTTTGCATAACCCTTCCAGCTTAATCTATGAGAGTGGCCTCAAGCAGCGGTTGCTGCGATATGCTGCAAGCGCCCTTTTATTTACGGAGAAAGGGGTGAATCCTTGTCTTGTTTCGTGGAATAGGTAAGGGGCTTTAATGTTTATATAAGAAGTTAAATTTCTTCAACTATATGCTTCGACATGAATATCTTTAGTTTAATTCCAAGACAAGTTGGTGTAATGAACTAATTTTTGAGTAATTACAAATTCCACTTATTTTTATTTTGTTATTTAAGCTTTTTCTTTCATTAATTTATGTCTAAGCACAGCGGTTACACGGAAATTTAGTTACCATCTTCTGTACATGCTCCTAATTCACACCAAAATCTATTTTCCACCCCCCCCCCGCCGCAACCCCCCCCACAATAAAAAAAAAAGAAAAAATGACTAAAGAAAAAAAAAAGGAAGAATTATTAGCTGATTAAATTATGACTTTGGAAGGAAAATGTCGACACTAGCTGTTGCAACAAGACTTGATGGATTTCTATTCGGTATGTTTGTGTCACAGAATCATCCTTTTGCATGGACCTCCAGGAACTGGGAAGACTTCACTGTGCAAATCATTAGCTCAAAAACTTTCCATACGTTTCAATTCAAGGTCTGATGAGATCATATTTAACTTATTTTCTTACTAGCATTTTTATGGTCTTTCACTTATCTTTTGATTTATAAATAGATACTCAGTAAGTCAACTAGTAGAAGTTAATGCTCACTCCTTGTTCAGCAAGTGGTTTTCTGAAAGTGGTAAACTGGTATGCTATTCATATCTTAAAGTGAAATTGTTCTATCTTCCTATGTATCGATATATCTATTATCCACATACACTCTTAAGGCTGGCGTATTTAACAGACTTGCTACTTGTTCAAATTTATCTTAATGTATCATATATATACCATATCTATCCTTTTTAATAGTGTTCTGTATCTTAATTTCCGTAAAAACTAGAGCATGCTGTATATTTAGGCATCATATATGCAACATCATGCATAGTTTCTTTTTGAGTGAAGATTTGTAACACGAGATTAATAGTTATATTTGCTCGATGTAAATCTATTTTTTGTGTAATTTTTCAGGCTATTATTCTGCTTTGCTTTTTCTACAGCCTCTTATTAATTGACTTTCAACAGCTTTTACTGTTGGAGTTATTCCATGATATAAGAGGATTTGCATAGGAAAGCCACTTATATGTAGATTATTGCTGCACTTCCCAACTAGACAGAAAAATTTTAGAGGGAATACTTTAGGTCCCCTTATTACCATTTCGAACATGTCAACAAATTTATTTACATAGGAACACGGTGTACATAATGGGCGATTGGTGTAGGACTTGCCCACCTTAGAGGGAATACTTTAGGTCCCCTTATTACCATTTGGAATATGTCAACAAATTTATTTACATAGGAACACGGTACGTACATAATGGGCGATTGGTGTAGGACTTGCCCACCGTGTGGCCAAATACCTTTTTTTATGAAGAAATATTTTTTTAGAAGAATGCACAACATTTGTTTATTTGTTGAGTTGGGTTCTTCACTACATTAACATGTTTTGGGATTCAATTTTGGTTTTTAAATTTGTTTTGTGTGTATATAATAAATTTAAGTGAATTTTTTCAAGCATTATTCATTTGTCGTCTGTTTTCTATGCAGGCAAGCCTATTAAATTTTGGCTCAGTCCATTTGTTAATACAACACTTTATTTAAAACAAATAATATGTGAAAATCCAAGCATGAAACAATGAGATGCATGCTTTTACATAAAAAAATTTCCATTTCCTTAGTTCGCTTTGCATGCAATGTTATACTTCACATCAAATTTGATGCAACTTTCATAATTTATTTCAGAGGTAAGACATGTTTCGAGGTGTTTTCATTCAAGGGTAATTTCTTATACCTTTTTGTGGTGTTATGGTGTCTTAGCATGTATTTTATTCGTTTGATATGAAATAAATCTCAAGATAGTTCGCCAACTTTTTTATATGACCAATTTAATCCCAAAGTATCACATTTTTTTAGTTTAGTCCCTCAATCATAAAAAAAACAGATCCAAATGGTCCTCATATAGAAATTGTGATACAAATTTGAGATTGATCTCAATTTTGTCCCTTGACTGTATGAAATTAATCCAAATGTGGTCACCAATGGATCATTTTTATTAGATTTCTATAGTCAAGGTTCTAAATAGGACGCAATGGAGAAATATGATTCATGTAGCCGACCCCACATATTGGGATTAAGGCTTTGTTGTTGTTGTATAGTCAAGGTTCTAGTCTAAATTAGAGCAATGTGATATTTTAGAGTTAAATTGGCCATATAAAAATAGTTTGAAAACCATTTTGGGAGTTCAACCCATTTGATATTTATATCCTTTGAGGTGCAATGGTTCTTTAACAGAATTTGATGCGTATAATTTCTCACCATCTGGGTGTACTTTTGTATACTGTTTAGGGTTCACTAGTGCCTTACACTCTTTTAAATGCCTGCGAGTTTGTTCTTAATAGTGTGCAATTCATATAACATCTCCCTTTTGGGCCACCTGATGCCTTAACTGATATATTAATGTAATTTGTAATTGTATTTCTTACATTATAATTCATATTGATATCGAAGTTAACCCAAATCACAACACAAGACACAAATTGATAATTAACTTAAAACGATGGTTACAATGACGACTTCAAAGAAGAGGAAAGACAACACATAAACGAAAATACATAACAAAACATTACAAACAAAAATTCAACAAATAAAGACACAACAAGTTCGACGAGGAGGGAGTCCGGAGAGATGGGGCTTGGAGCGGCGACTACGATGAAGGTTGGAGAGATGTCGAGCTGCTGTGAAAGAAGCAGGACAGTAGGTCAGTGGTAGTAACAATGTCGAACCATAGCTGGAGAGAAGCATGAACGTCGTTGGAGGCTAGGTAGGTGGCTGCAGTGCAAGCCAGAGTGGTGGGGCCTGCTATGGAAGACATAGGACAACACGGTAGTGATAGTAATGACGTCAAACCGTAGCTGGAGTGAAGTAGGAATGTCGTCGGATGTGGAATTGATTGCTGCGGTGAAGGGCTGATGGCAGAGGCACGAGCAACGGTGGAGAAGGGTCACGACCTGTCGTGTGGGAGGCAGCAGGAGCTGCGAGGGCTTGTAGGGAAGTTGTAAGGGTTGTCGGCGGGCAGGGAGAGCATATGGGCTGTAGTAATTTGTAGGTGGGAGGCGTTGGGGAAGCCTGAGTGGGGCTGCGACTTGCTGTGGGAGAGGCAACAGGTGTTGCGTGGCCTGCAGGGAAGCTGCAAGGGCCGTGAATGTGTAGGGAGAGCAGCAGGGCTACAATAATTTGTAGGTAAGTGGCGCTGGGGAAGCCTGAGTGGGGCTGTGACCTGCTGTGCGAGAGACGACAGGTGCTGTGAGGGCTTGCATGGGAGCTGCAGGGGTCGTCAGTGGGTAGGGAGAGCAACAGGGCTGCAGTAATTTGCAGGTGGGTGACTGCTGAGGACTGATGACACTTCTGGGAGAGTAGCAGGTGACAGGGAAGCTACCGTATGGATGGTCGAAGGTGCTAGGACATTGGCGAGCTGAAGGACTGCGGGGAGAGATCAAAACGAGGAAGATAAACACCATGTCGGACGGGGTTACAACTGAAGCACCTTCCTCGTCGTCATATACAACCCTTGAGAGGGAAAACACTCAGATAAAACTGAATTTATATTTCAAAATCAAGACCTTTGACCCTAGACACATCAACTTCTATTTATAACATACTTGACCCAACTTAGAAACAATTAAATTAAGAAAGGAGAATAAAAAAAATCAAGATCTCAGATTTAAAGAAGGAAAATCAAATCAGATTTTAGCCTTTTAAGAAAGGTTTTAAATTAAGAGAAGGAATAAAAATTAGATCTCTATTTTAGGAAGGCTTTGGAAATATTGAAGGTCTAAGTAGGGAGGAAATGCAAGTGTCGACGCTAAAAAAAAAAAAGATTAAAGTTGGAGGGGTTTGCCTGTAAGAAGCTGTCGGTTGCCGGAATTGAAATCTCGTTCCCCGCTTCGGAAGGATGTTGAAGTATGAAATTAATGTATAATTTTAGAAAAATAT